AAGTAATCAAAAATGCTATTATATCTCCTCTCAGTTATCTTTCTCAAGGCTAAACATAGATAACATCCTCAGCTTCTCTTTGCTGGGTTTAGGGTCTAGTCCCTTTGACCATACTTTTTAACATTCTCAGCATCTATTCCACCTTCTCTGGTTTTTACTGAAAATTGTGATGCCCACAACTGATATGGTCTTTAGTAGTAAGCTCTGATCAATCAATTTTTGGACCAGAAACATCTTTTGAAATCCACTTAAGAAATATCACGTAACATTCATAATGCAGTTGTTCATAAATATCCATTTAGAAGAGATTACCTATTTCTTTCAGTGACAATTTTCATGTATAAATCCAGTGCCATTTGTATACTAAAATCATTTTTATTAAAGAAAAAGCTCCATATAATTACATTTGAATAGGTACTTCTCATCAGGTTTCCTTACCAAAACTGTTTTTTATCCAAAGGGTTCCTTTTTTCAAGTTATACATAGTTGTAAACCTCTTTTATCCTAGGAGATAAATTTATGACCTGAAAAATAACATTATTTTGCAAAGGTCAGTAAAATCAGATCACTTTGATGAAATGAAGTGGAGTAAATTTTTAAGGTATCCATAGGGTATTGTTATCTGTCATGATAATGAGAATTACTTCCTTTGGGAATAAAACACACTTTAATATTAGGTGAACTCAAACACAATATCAAATATGTTCATGAGAATTTCTATCTATGGAAATTGAAGAATTATAAAGAGAGGATTACAAGTCTGCTGTCCCTGGTGGCGTAGCAGACTAAAGCAGCAGACTAAAGCACTGTTATTAACATCAGCTGCCTGTAATTACTGCAAGTTCAAATCTCACCAGGCTCAAGGTTGACTCAGCCTTCCATCCTTTCAAAGGTAGGTAAAATGAGGACCCAGACTGTGGGGGCAATAAGCTGACTTTGTATAAAATATACAAAAGTATGAAGGGTATTGCTTAACGCATTGTAAGCCGCCCTGAGTCTCCGGAAAAGGGCGGCATATAAATCAAATAAAAACAAAAAAGAACCTCAGTCTCTTCTCTTCTCCCCTCCCCTCCCCCTTCCCCTCTGCTCCTCTCTGCTCCCCCCTCTCTGCTCCCCTTCCCTCCTCTCCTTGTTGAGACTTTGCACAAAGTGCAGAAAAGAGCAACTAAGATGATTAAAGGCCTGGAGACTAAAACATTTGAAGAACGGTTGCAGGATTTGGGTTTGACTAGTCTAGAGAAAAAAAGGACTAAGGGGGACTTGATAGCAGTGTTCTAACATTTGAGGGGCTGCCACAAAGAAGAGGGGAGTCAAATTATTCTCCATAGTACCAGAAGGCAATGCAAGAAGCAATGGATGGAAACTAGCCAAGGAGAGAAGCAACCTGGAATTAAGGAGAAACTTCCTAACAGTGAAAACAATTAGTCAGTGCAACAGCTTGCCTCCAGAAGTTGTGGGTGCTCCATCACTGGAAATTTTTAAGACGAGCAGGGGGTTGGACTAGAGACCCCCAAGGTTCCTTCCAGCTCTATTATATTCTAATTCCAATCAGTAAGATGCACTTTATTGCCATTCCAGCTTCTACCATATCTGGGATGCAAAAAAATTGGATGACCACCAGATGTCAGCAAGGAGTCCTTAACCTTATTGCTGCCATCTATAGATCACTTGCATTTTGATAGTCCAGATACGGCAATCTTAACTTTGAGTCATAGGTAAACAAATGATTTCCAGATATAATTCAGCAAATGGGTGATAATGGAAGTCCGCATGGATATGATAAATGGACTGGGTATAGTTCTGTAGGAATCTCTTTATGTCACATCATCCTAATTTCTGAGATCCTATGCAGCAGCAGCCTCTTCGGCTGAAGCAAGACAGCTGTGAATGCCCAAGGGAGCCTTCACAGAAGCTAGGAGCATAGTGTGAAACATCCATCTGGGAGAGACAAAATTGGTCTCTGTATGTGAGCAGATGATGATGAAGAAGAAGAAAAAGCCTTCTGTGGCATGGTTGAGGGCAGCAGAAGAAATGGAAGCCTGTTGCAATTATAAGGTCAGAGAAATCATAGACATTCTTGAAATATTTCTGGATATATATTTTTTCATTGTCACTTATTAAAAAAGAAGATATTTAGTACCAGCATCACCCAAAGTGGCCCCAACTTGGCTTCTAACATAGTTGAGACAATAGTTGAAACACTGGAATCCTATTTGAAGTCTAATCATTTAAAGGACTTCAGTCAGTGGGAAACCATTTATTATAAGTGAATTCTCCACTCTTAGACCTTTTCACCTTCAAACAGCTTTGTAAACAAAAGCTTGGACTCTATGATGTGGAATTAAATCTTTTACAAATAACACTTTATAATTTCTTCCTTTCGTGCAAGGCAATAGCTGGACAGCTCCCCAAACTCTCTTTAAATGCTTTCACCTCCTTGATGCTCATTGCCCTGGAAATGATTTCTCTCAACAAATATTGGGTGATTGTTTAAATATTACAGGAACAACCAGTAATTAACTTTACACAGTGTTAGTTTTTCTGTAAGATGTTCAGACTGTGTATTTAAGAGTGTGCCCCTACCCTGTTTGTGTACTAATCAAGCTCTATTGAAGGGGTCATCAGAAAGTATCATTTTTAAAAAATATATTTATTCATATTCTTTTTACGAGATTCATTTTCAGTCATTCTTGATCCTGGTTTGAAAAGGATTTTTTGTTCTTTTACTCTCTTCTTGGTACCATTAATACAGTGGTGGGTTTAAAAATTTTTTACTACCGGTTCTGTGGGTATGGCTTGGTGGGCATGGCATGGCATGGCTTGGTGGCCGTGGCTTAGTGGGCATGGCAAGGGAAGGATACGGTAAAATCTCCATTCCCACCTCACTCCAGGGGAAGGATACTGTAAAATCTCCATTCCCTCCCCAATCCAAGGGAAGGTTACTGCAAAATCCCCATTTCCTCCCAATCAGCTGGGACTTGGGAGGCAGAGAATAGATGGGGGCGGGGCCAGTCAGAATTTTTACTACCGGTTCTTGGAATTACTCAAAATTTCCACTACCAATTCTCCAGAACTGGTCAGAACCTGCTGAAACCCATCTCTGCATTAAGAGATAAGTCCGATAATGATTAAATTGCACTGAATCCATTCCTTATAAAGGGTTATCAGATTTTTTGGAATATTTAGCATACCGTATTTGGCTATATCTAATGTTTTCATCTCCTATAATCACCCTTGAAATGGTTTGGAATAAGAGGAATTCCAAACCATTGGAATGGCACAAAATCACCCAGATGACTTCATGGCTAAGGGAAAACTAGAACTCTGATTTCTACTCCAGTATCTTAACTACTGCCCCAAATTGTCTCTTTCTCGTCAGTGTAAACTGGATTTCCAGGTGATTTTTCCACTCAGATTCTAACCTGGATCAAACGAACTCATGTTTTTGAAGGCAATCAATGTTAACTGCTCTCCTTTCAAAATACTGAAATTATTAGAATTATGATGTCTCCTAAGGAATGAATGAATGAGAAAGAAACAGTCAGAAGTATGTGGGGGTCTGTATCCTTAGTGCTTTCTGGGCTTGCTTGTTTTCTTGCAGATCTTTCATTACCCAACTAGGTAACATCATCAGTGCCAGTAAGGAATACTGTTTGCTGTCAGTTTACATTCTAGTGTCTTGCCCTGTCAGTATTGGTGCGGGCAATCTTAAGAGATTCTTTGGTTGGGTTGTTTGCTGCTGTTCGCTCTTTGGCAAAACCCTTGCTTGGGTTTTGTTTACTTGATTGTTGGTCTGATAACCTTGGAGTTAATCTATGCTGATCTGAGTGCTGATTGCTGGTGGAGAGGTGCTTGGGGCCTTTTTGTTCCCTTTTGGGTTGCATGATAGTCTATTTTGCATAGTCTATAGATCAGAGGTGGGTTTCAGCAGGTTTTGACCAGTTCTGGAGAACTGGTAGCAGAAATTTTGAGTAGTTCAGAGAACCGGTAGTAAAAATTCTGACTGGCCCCGCTCACATTTATTTTCTGCCTCCTGAGTCCCAGCTGATTGGGAGAAAATGGGGATTTTGCAGTATCCTTCCCCGGAGTGGGGTGGGAATGGAGATTTTACAGTATCCTTCCCCTGCCACGCCTACCAAGCCACACCCACAGAACCAGTAGTAAAAAATTTTGAAACCCACCACTGCTATAGATGTTGATATCTATGTATCTCTTGATGGCTGATGTGTCTGAGTGCTTCTAGAAATTACCTGGTGTTTTTGGACTTGACTTAGTCTAGGATGGTCACATTTATCAGAATCAGAAGTGCTATACAAACACAGGGTACTGTCTGCTTATTTCCCTCCCCTCTGTCATTAGATTCATACTCAGTCTATTAATATTTGGTTTTGAGAGACTTCTAAACAAATCTCATTGCTAATGAGGAAGCCAATGTCCATAGGCCTCCCAAAGGGCTACTTATTAATTGACTAATGGAAACATAACAGATGCCCAAGTGGGATGAGGCACACACTACTCTGAGCAAGCAAGCTGAATAACTGGAGGAAGGAGTCTTCGGGAAAATTAGTAGTCAGAAACCTTTGGAATGCTTTTATTGTAGCTCATTAACCAGTTTATTTTAAATGATAAAATAGTTTGTTCTTTCTAACATCACCCCTTGTAAAATTGATCAGAATTGATATTCTTTCCTCTTGGTTAACTTCTCCAATGGTCTCAGTATTGTTTTCAAATTGAATAGATAGATAGACAGACAGACAGACAGACAGACAGACAGATAGATAGCGTAGATAGATATGATAGATATAATTATGACATTCGTGTCCAGATTTACATTAGTTTTTGAAAGACACCAGAATATTCCTGGAGAATTCGGAAAGACACATATAATTTTGACAATATCTGAATATGCCCTTATAAAAACTGCTCTGCTGTTTAGATGGGCATGCTTGAGATAAATTAATTCTAACCCAAAAGAACAATCAAACCCTAATCATCTATAAATCAATATTTTAATTTCTTTTAATTATTCAGAAATTGGAAATGCTTGATTGTACCTACCACATCATCATCAAAACCCTATCCTCACATTTGTTACTGATTTAACTCTCATGCTTCAGAATATTGGGAACTGTAGAAGACTGAAGGCTGATGAAGACTTTACAACAAATATATTCAGAAGACTACAGTTCCCAGAAGCCATGACAATTTCTTTGGTTTAGATGTTAAAACAGGAAATTTTAAAATTCACAAATAATGAGACGATACTGGTTGCATTTTTTGTCATTCCAACTTCCATCAGTTTGCATCTCAACACAATTTTCTGACCCTTTTCCATTTGGCTCATATCGACGCCAGTTGGTATAATTCACAGGAGTTTCATTGAAATATTCGAAGGCTCCTGGAACTGAACTCTCCTTAATTCCCAAGTAGGTGTATTGATTTTGTTCTTTCACAATTTGCAAAATAGCTTCATTCTCCTTTTCATTCATGGGTTTTGCAATGGAACCCCCTGAAAGTTGACATGCTTGGATTATTGCATCAAAGCCAACTGTCTTCCCATTGGTAGTAAATATTTTGTCCTCCACCTTATTTATCAGTCCCCTCAAGGCTAGAACTGCAAAAGAGAAGAAAAAGCATGATTATACATTTTGTCCTACTATTTGGCAATTCCTAAGTGCAAATTATCATTTGTTTTTGCAACAGCCACACCATGACTATGCATTGCATAAACTAAATACATTTGAATTAATCCATGCTACTCTCTCAGATGTCCCTCTATAAATCTGTTCCATTTCCGTAGTAATCAAAAATATCTCTCTAAATGAAAATTCAGATTGAAATGTTTCGGAGTTTACTGGCCAGATACCCTTCCTGACGCCTATGCGGAGTTCGCAGCAGATATTTTCTCTTTGTGTCCAGAGAGAAAAATATCTGCCGCTCCCTAGGATTGAAATCACAGCCTCCTGATTATGAGGAGAGAGCTCCACCTTTAGGCCACCATGCTGCTCTTTTGAAAGTTTACCATAGAAAATTTAAGATCAAAATTATCAAAATGAACATGGTTTAATTTAATTATTTAATTTAATTAATTTAATTTAATTTAATTTAATTTAATTTAATTAATTTAATTAATTTAATTAATTTAATTAATTTAATTAATTTAATTAATTTAATTTTTAAATTTATATACCGCCCTTCTCCCGAAGGACTCAGGGCTGTGAACAGCCAGAAGTAAAAAACATCAAATACAAAATATAAAAACAGTTTAAAAATGAATTAATCAATTTGGCCCGACAGTTAAAATCCCCCATTAAAAATCCAAATTAAAATACACAATTGGAGAGATTAGGCCAGCCCGACTTGATGAAATAAAAAGGTTTTGAGGACCCGACGGAAAGTACGTATGTCTGGAATCGTCCGTATCTCTGGGGGGAGCTCGTTCCAGAGGGCAGGTGCTCCCACAGAGAAAGCTCTCCCCCTGGGGGCCGCCAGTCGGCATTGTTTGGCCAACGGCACCCAGAGGAGCCCCTCCCGGTGGGAGGCTCTTAGTGGCAGAAGGCAGTCCTGTAAATATCCAGGCCCTAAGCCATGGAGCGCTCTAAAGGTGGTCACTAACACCTTGAATCGCACCCGGAGGACCACCGGGAGACAGTGCAGCTCACGCAGGAGAGGTGTTACATGGGAGTGCCATGACGCTCCCATAATCACCCGCGCGGCCGCATTCTGGACCAGTTGGAGCCTCCGGGTGCTATTCAAGGGGAGCCCCATGTAGAGAGCATTGCAGTAGTCCAGGCGGGAAGTGACGAGGGCATGAGTGACCATGCGTAAGGAGTCCCGATCCAGAAAGGGACGCAACTGGCGAATCAGGCGAACCTGATAAAAAGCCCCCTGGCCACAGCCGTCACATGCTCTTCTAAAGACAGCCGTGCATCCAGGAGGACATGCAAGTTGCGAGCCCTCTCAGTGGGGGCTGTACAGCCTCCAGACAATGGGACATCACATCAAGGGCATCATTGGGGTGGTCCGGGGTGGAGATTTACAGCTGAGTGTCAGAGTACTGATGGTACTTCACCCTGAAACCACGGATGATCTCACCCAGCGGCTTCACATAAATGTTGAACAGAAGGGGCAAGAGGACCGACCCCTGTGGCACCCCACATACAAAGCACCTCGGGGTCGACCTCAGGCCCCCCCGTCAACACAAACTGCGACCGGTCAGAGAGGAAGGAGGAGAACCACCGCAACACGGTGCCCCCCACCCCAACCCCTCCAACCGGTGCAGCATGATACCGTAGTCGATGGTATCAAAAGCCGCTGAGAGATCTAACAGGACCAGGACAGATGAACAGCCCCTGTCCCGAGCCCTCCAGAGATCATCAACCAATGCGACCAATGCCGTTTCCATGCTGTGCCTAGGCCTGAAGCCTGACTGGAACGGATCGAAATAGACTGCTTCATCCAGGTATTGGGGGAACTGTCGCGCCACCACACTCTCAACAACCTTCGCCACAAAGCGAAGGTTGGAGACTGGATGATAATTTGCTAAAACAGCTGGGTCCAAGGAGGGCTTCTTGAGGAGAGGCCTCACCACCGCCTCTTTCAAGGCGGTGGGAAAGTAGCCCTCTCTCAAAGAAGCGTTAACAACCCCTTGGAGCCAGCCTCGTGTAACCGGGAAGCCAGCACCAACCAGGAGGGACACAGGTCCAATAAATATGTGGCTGCGCTAAGTCTACCCAGAATCCTGTCCATGTCTTCAGGGGTCACTGGGACAAATTCCTCCCAGATAATGCTCTCAAGACCTGTCTCCGTCACCCCACCTGTATCTACCCAGTCAGAGTCCAGGCCTTCCCGAATTTGAGCGACTTTGTCATGCAGACACTGCACAAGATCCTCAGCCCTGCCCTCCAAGGGGTCTTCCCGCGCTCCCGGATGGAGCAAGGAGCAGGTCATTCTGAACAGGGCGACTGGGCGGTTATCTGCAGACACGATAAGCACGGAAAAATAATTAAACTTTGCCATTTTTATCGCCACTAGGTAGGTCTTAATATGAGACCTTACCAGTGTTCAGTCGGATTCGGAAAGGCTAGTCCTCCAACTGCTCTCTAGGCGTCTTTTCCGGCGCTTCATCTCCCTCAGCTCCTCGGAGAACCAGGGAGCTAAGTGAGATCGGCGGCAGGTCAGAGGCCGCAAAGGCACGACACGGTCTAAAGCTCCAGTGGCTGCCCTATCCCAGGCGGCCACCAGGTCTTCAGCCGGGTCGTGAGCCAGAGCCTCAGGGAATGGCCCAAGCTCCGTCTGGAACCTATCATGATCCATCAGGCGTCTGAGGGGGAACCACCTAGTCGGTTCTGCCACACTGAGGCGGGGTGTAGAGGTTTGAAGGTCAAATTGAAGGAGAGAATGGTCAGACCATGACAAGGGTTTAAAACAAAAAACAGGACAGTCCAATCAAAAAGCTTCCCAGAACACTCAATCTCCAAACATTTATTCAGATATTTTTGAATATGCTAGAACTTTAATTATTTAATTTGATTTGGAAAATGGTTACACCTCTGATTTCCAAATAGGAAAATGAATATTTCTCTTATTTTTACGTTTGAAAATATACATGCAAAGCTTCCTTCTCAAAAAGCAATGGAGAGTCCAGATAAATGCAAGATTTTAGAGGAAATGAAGCCTATCTCACCATCCCTTTTCAAAAAATATTTTTTGCCTCTCATGAAAGCTACTCCTGGTAGCAGGTATTTGTATTACAGTTTTGGTCTCCATAATTCTAGAATAGGAAAAGCAAGCAGCACACCTCCTTCAAGTCTTAGGATCCTGTCTCCCAGATTTCTGAGCACTTTCTGCATGTCTGGATCGAGAAAAGCTGCACGGCCTGGAAATAAATAGAAAAGCAATCCATTTAGCTTCAAGGAGCAGAGCAAGTCCATTTCTTTGCTCTGAATTTTGCCTCTGGAGAATACTGAATTTTCCTGTGGCCTGTCTAGTATTCCACACGGAATACTACATCCAGTTATGATCACCAGAATACAAAAAAGATGTTGAGTGTCAGCCTCCGCCTTTACTGCTTTGGCTGCCATAGTAACGGGAGGGGGAGAGCTAGATAGCATGGGGGGGAAGCGTGCTGGAGGAAACGAAACCGATAGTTAAGACACCAGACTGTATCTTTGAAGCTGCCATCGGGCCAACGGTCGTGGCATTCCTGATTGATGACGCTGCCAGACATGTGCTTCCACCTGACCGCTGGGAGACCTTTGGATTGGATGATTTATGGTGGACAGTGGGAGGAGATGCTTTCTATATGCAATTTTCGCGCGCATTGCCTTAGATTCTGCTTTCCTTTGGTTGCATTCACTTCATTTTCTAGTAAAAGTACCTTTCTCTATAAACAATGGAGTTTGGGTCATTCTTTCCTGGACTTTGAAGGAAGCACACCTGACATTAAGCAGAATCTCACCTCCAGCCATCCCGGATAAACACCGAGGGGGCTGAACCCAAGATATGTCTGACCAAGAGAGTGAAGGAGATCAGATGGGAGCTTCTGGCTCTACTATAATTTCACTTCAAGCGGAGAAGGAAGCTGCAGAATGGATGGAAAAAATTCAGCTGAGAGAGGAGCCAGAGGAAGCTAGATGGTCGAGGGGAGTAGGAAGGTTGCCGGACTTGGGGAGGACCCCCCAAGGAGTAAGCAGCTCCAGACCTCGTAAGGGAGAGGCAGTGTGGCTGCAAGAGCAAAAGGAGAGCCTCATGATTGCTCAGGCGATGAAACTCCTCCCCGATGCCAAGGAAAGCCGGAAAAAACATTGAGTCTTATGTATTCCCTGTGGGGAAGGGAGACTACCCCAGACTGGATCCAGAAGAGACAGCCTGTGGGGGAAAGGAAGAGGAAGCTGGGGAAGAAACATCAGGCTTCTGGGGCTCAAGCGAGGGATGCAGCAGCCCAGAGACCCCCAGCCTTACAGGCCCCACCCCGCAGGCGCAAAAAGCCAAAAATTCCCCCCCTAACCGGAAAATATGATGGGAACCCGAAGACCTTGGGGCTTTTCTTGACCCAAGTGTGGAACCACATCATGCAGGACTGGGGGGAGGATTACTTATCAGATGCGGCACGAGTGAGATGTGTCACGAATGTCTTAGAGGGAGTAGCAGCTGAATGGATGGTGGTCCTCCACAATAATAACTCTCCCTTGCTGAGGAATTACAACCTGTTCATGGGGGCTCTTAGGAGGCGGTTTGAAGACCACCTAGCCGAGCGGAAAGCGAGACTCAGAATGAAGGGTATCCAGCAGGGCCGGAGATCGGTGGCAGAATACACCCAAGAATTTCACGAACTGGAACCCTACATGACAGGGTGGTCAGAAGCAGCCCTACTGGAGAGTTTCAAGGACGGACTGAATGAAGACGTATACAAAGACTGTAGAGCACGGGGGGTCCCCGAAGACTTGCAGAGTTGGTACGTAGTAGCTGAGGATGTGGAAATCGAGCTGGCCCGAAGCCGACTCCGAGGAGGCCGTGCAGGGGACCCGTCATCCCCCTTCTACCGCAAAGGAGCCCCAAAGGCGGGCGCGGGGAGAGTGCAATTCAAACCAAAATTGAAGCCCTTCACGTGTTTCAAATGTGGAAAGGAAGGCCATCGGGACGCCGAATGTTTCTCCAAACCAGTGCCAAAATCTACCGGCTCGGGACCAAAGAAGGCTGATAAAGCACCCGCAAAAGCTCATGAAACCGCCCTGAAAGGAGAAGTTCATTCCCCAAAACCAGGATGGGTTGGGAACTCCGACCACCGCGGATGACAGTGGGACAGACTCCGACTCCGACTCTGATGATCTGGTGAGTCACACTGAGGGCCCCATGCTCATCCCCATAGAAATAAGGGTGCCGTCCACAGGGGCACATGTGCAGATGTTAGCCCTATTAGACTCTGGGTGCACCAGGTGCATAATCAGCCCGCAAATGATGGAGAAAATGGGCCTGAGGCTAAAAATGTTAAAAAGGCCCATTGCGTTCTGTCAGTTGATCGATTGCAGGAGGGGGCCCAGCCAGCTTTGTGACCGAACCCATTGAAATGCAATTGGGGGATCACGTAGAGACCCTCAGGTTTATTGTGGCCCCTGGCATGGAACGACCCCTCATACTTGGACTGCCCTGGCTCCATAGATGGAACCCATGTGTTAACTGGAAAACGGGGTTTTTTCACATTCGCACCAGAAAACCGAGACTAGAGAGGGAAGAAAACCCCCTGGAGTGTTACGAAATGGGGGTGAGGGGTACCCCGGACCGTGAACCAGCTCATGAGTAAACACACTGAGACTGAAATAATTCTGACAGAGGTGTCTTATGTAAAAATATAATTTACTTTAAAACATTTAAAAAGCACTATGTCTTTAAGAAAGCACGTTAAAAACAAAGTCTTATCTGGGTATGTGAAGCAAGGCTATCTCCCTGGATCCCTCTCCACAATACCGAAACAGTTCACAAGAGAATAAAGCCAGCATGAAGGTAAGCAGCTTCGGTGTCGATACATCATCAAGGCAATCCAAGTGGGGGCAGCACAAACTTCACAGCTAAAAGTCACCTGAAGTAAAAACAGTTCAAACAGCAAACATTGCTTGAAGCTTGTGGGAGGAAAAAGGTCCAGCAGCAGTCCCGATGATAGCTTGCGTGCTTCAAAACAGCAAAAGGCAAGCATCCGTGGGAGTTTCTCTGCAACGGCGTCTGGAGTCCTTATCTGCATTCTTCTCCCATCTGCGGCGTTGCACTAAGCTTCCTGCAGGAGCTGTGCATGATGAACCTTGGTGGACTTTGCCAAAATCTGCAGAAGCTGAATTCCCCTTTCCAGACGCTAAAGGTAAGGGGAAGCCCCTGAGTGAACTGGGAAGGGTGGATTGGTTATGGGATTGGCAGAAGGCCAGACAGAAAGAAATTTCAACCCTGCCACTGGAAAGCCCCATGGAGGAGTTAAAGCAAAATTTTGAACGTGCTGTCAGCCTGGAAGACGGTCCATCCTGCAGGCCCAAAGATAGAAGGAGGCCAGCTGACCCTATTGAACTAAGTCACCATAGAAGGGGGCCTAACCCTTCCCCCTCCCACACCAGATGGAAGGAAAGTCCCAGTTTGCATCCATGGGTTCCTCCTCTGCCCAGCAAACATACCAGCCTATGCAAGGCATCACCCCCCCGCCCCCGAATGAGAGATGAGGAAGAAGCCCAACAATACCCCAGACAGGCACACAGAGCCCAGCCATGGGAGGACGGCCCACCGAGGGCAGAGCCACCTCGGTTCAGAGGGAAATTTGATGGGGATCCAGACCAAGTGGCGCAGTTCCTCGACGCAGCTGAGGTCTATATCGAGAGCTATGGGCACCTTTACCCATTCCCCAGAGCCCTGGTCAATGCCATTTCAGAAGGGCTGGAGGGAGAAGCAAAGACTTGGTCATCAGCCCTCTACAAGAATAGAGCCCCCCAACTGCAAGACGCAGATGATTTCTTGCAACTACTGTGGGTGAGGTATGAGGAAGTAGGGGAGGACCCATATGTGGAAGACAAACTCAGAAGCCTAGTCCAGAGAGGGAAGCCCATCAAGGAACACATTCGTGAATTCCAAAGAGTTGTGGGCACCTTGCCTCCCCTACCTGAGCGACTGCTAGTGTATTTTTTCAGAACGAGCCTAGATAAGCGGATCGCTCAAGTGACCGCTTATCGGGACATCCCGAACCGACTCGCTGAATGGTTCCGCGTGGCAATGCAAGTTGAAAGGGGACTGCGCGCCAACGACATGCTAAAGCAACCAGAGGCCAGGGAGAGATACCAATCGGACCCGAGGCCACAAACCAGACGAGGAACCATGGCACCACGGCCTACCCAAAGGCCTTTCGTTCCACGGAGCCCAATGAGATGCTACAGATGTGGAGGAATAGGCCATCTAGCAGCAGCCTGTGGAACCCCGGGCCCGAGGCCAAACCCTCAGCCAAAGGCATGACGAGAACGGGTCCCCAAGCGAGCCACTGATGCGCCACGAAGTCTCCTCCCCGGCACAGAGGTCTTCGCCCACCTGACCGAGACAAAGGGAATCCCGGATGATGGAGACCAATTCCCCGACTCGTATGACAGCGAGGACGAGGGTGAAGACGACCCAATGGTGAGTGGACCCATCCACCCTTTCCTTTTCCCCATACGCCTAACAGCCCCAAAGACAAGTACCCAAGAGACTTTCCAAGCCCTGATAGACTCAGGCTGCATTAGGTGCCTGATTAATCTACCCACAGTCCTAAAATTGGGGATCCGAGCTAAGAAGCTCAACCACCCAATTCGATTTGAGCAAGTTGATGGGACCCTAGTAGGCGGAACTTGCACCACACACCTGACCGAACCAGTGAAGCTAGAACTAGGGGATCACTGGGAGACGATACGGTTCATAATAGCCCCCAAGATGGCCGATCCAGTCATACTGGGACTTTCCTGGCTAGACAAGTGGGGTCCAGTTATCTGGTGGCAAGAGGGTACCCGCAGATTGAGGATAGCCAAAGGGCCCCAACCTCTGCTGTTCCAACCAGAACAAACACCCCACACACTCGGGCCCCAATGTCTCCCGGCTGAACAAAAGAAAATGGCACCGACGCAAGGGCCCCTCCCGGAGGGCACCACGAAGCAGCTGGGGCCCACATCCAACAGCACCCATGAAACAGAGCAGATCCCAAAAGACTACCAAGACCTAGCACAGGTATTTAGCGAGACCGAGTGCGACGTCCTACCTCCCCACTGCGATTCCGACTGTGCCATCGAAATCATCCCTGGGGCGAAACTTCCTAAACCTAAATTGTATGCCATGACGCCCTGTGAAATGCAAGAGATGCGGAACTACATAGACAAAAACCTA